CGTGGAGGCGATTCTGCCATTGGGCTACAATAAAGTGTTCCACATCTCTGTTGTTGAACCCTGCTTCTTGTCGCAGTCTTTTCGATGATTTATTCTGATTTACGATTGCAGTGCACAGTGCCTTCAGCTTGTCCGTTTCTAATCTGTGATCTTGTGATGTCCTAAATATATGAACTCGTTTCATACGAAATAAATAGGGGCTCCCTCAATCAAGTGTTAAACTTTTTATTTGACTTCGCAGCGGTATATTCTACTTATGGCTCAAATGCAAACAAATGCAGACAAAAAACGAGCAACATACGTCTTTGACAGATCAACCCAAGGTCGGACATTATCCACATCAAGCAGCTTGAAAACACCTAACCAGGTTGATCTGAAAGAAGTGACTTCCAAAGTACAGTCCACTACTCCACCACCGTGTGAGGTAAGTACATTTTTGTGTCAGGTTGGAGTAACCCACAAAGTTTATCAGCTGGAAATTTTCATAAATACAAGCCATTAGAAAAAGTTACACATCTACTTAAACTTAATTTCAAAATCCGAAGTGAGGTGTCCATGGAATGTCAAAGATTGTTTTTGGAATTTAAAATGCCCTGTGTACAATCTCGGGCACCCGCCTAAATCTTTTATACATCGGTCCACTGGCTTAACTTCAAGGAAGTAGCGTCAACCAGTTCATCTTGAGAAATTGAACTGCTGTCTCACGCTGAACAGCTGAATAATCCTGGAACGTCAGGTGGTCTCTATTGTCTTATGGAAGATGTACTCATGCTCGAATATCATTTACTGAATTGCATTGTATTTTACCGTATATTGTTATATTCCTGATAGTCTTTTTGGTGTGCATAAATTTTTACTGCCTTGCTGATCACGAAGAGTGCTTCCAGAACTGCTTCTACTGCCTACGTTTTTTCGTCGTCTACCATTTTAGGGAACAATGAGCGCCTGATAAGCCGGGGATATGTCGTGAAGCCTGAGTCTCCAGAATGCTTGTCTGTCCTCGGACATTACACCTACTAGGACCGGAACAGTTAATCTTGAACGCTTTTAAGATCCAGTCCAAATCGTGGAGAGCACAAAAAAGAAAAAATAGAAGGATAGCAATTTGGAGTGTTTGTAGGGCATACAGAGCATCTTTTCTTCAAAGTGAATGGGGATGGGTCATTGGTTTTGTGTTTTACCCCAAATCTACGTTTCTTTCAAACAAGATAAGCCTTTCGCTTTAAAACAGTATTACGATGATGAAACCTGATCAGAATACTTCTGTGAAAATACATTCCCACGATCCAAGTACACCATTAATTTCTGAATCGAAAGCAGTGTGTTTGCAGTTTGTATACTGTGATCAAGAATACAAGAGACCTTTTATTCATTTAATGCAATTAAATCGATCGAGCTAAGTTGACGGGTTCATGACCCTTAGTTTATTACACTGCAGGCAGTGGGGCTATTTGTCGTAGTAGTGTGAACCACTGAATGGACAGAAATTTAAAACTCGAAGGAGGACTGTTACAGTGAGTAATTCACTACAAGGTCTACTTATTATCCCACGGAATTTCATCCATTCGTGCGATTGCTTTCGGCTATTTCGTAAGGACCATCTAACTAGCACATTTGGGCTCGGTTTTCGCCTGACCATTGAAAATGTCCTAATTTACACCAAATTAACTGATTTATTACCCTGTCTTACAGAGTGGTTTTTAACCGGTCTCAAAAATGCTGACTTAGGAGTACGCCTGAAAGCCGATCTTCTCCGTCATTTTTTACTATAGCTGTACGTCTATCTCACATAAACCTTTCAATTTAACAAATCACAAAGAATGACACGTTTATCCGCAAGGGTGGCTTTTAGAACGACTGGATGCTATACAATCTGCTTCACAGATTGTGCTGTTTTCTTGAATGAATTTTCTGAGTAAAAATGTTGGTCAGAGTTCT